TGCACAAATGGGCAGCCGCATTCACCAACAAATACACAGTCACTCCACTTTAATAATAAAATAATAATCCTTGCATTTGATATAGCACCTTATCACGTCTTCAATACTTCTCAAAGCGCTTCACAGAATATACTGTCAAGTGAATTAACTGTTTATTTTGTGGGCGAAACGAAACAAAACAAAATCTTGTGAAGTGCTTTGAGATGGCCTCTGACGTGAAAGGTGCTATACCAAATGCAAGGATGATAATGATGATGATTTATTCCTATCAACAGCTGTTCTATAAATTCTGCACAAAAGGAGACCAGAGAGAGAGAGAGAGGTATGGTCATGAAAGCAGGAACAATTAAGAAATGGAAGTTACTTTGACACCACAGGCCATAGTCAATACAGTACAGTTCCTGTTCCTTTTTTAACGGTACCTAATAAAACTTGTGATTTTCTTTTCCATATAAGGTCAGTTTGATTGAATCGAAGTGTGTTATGCTCTGGGCAGGCCGTCTGATAGGAGTCTGATGGTAAATGGAGTTGCAAAATAATGGTGTCTATAAGCAAACTCATAGGAATCACAGAATAAAGGTAGAACAGGTACGATTTTGAGGTCAATCTTATTGTTTCCTTCAAAATGCATCTTGTGTTCCCATCACACGTTGCACAGAGGTCACAGGGAGGTCTTGCCATTAAATCGATAGCCCCATTGTACAATGTGATAAGGTCCTATATCAGATGCAAAGGTTATTAATATTATTGTACCTGAGATTGTGGGTTCAGTTTTTCTGCGAGTCTCTGGTGGTCAAGAGTAACTGCAGAACAGACCCCAAAGGATTGAGCTTTGTAAAGGTTCTGGGGGACTTTTGGTAGTAAATATAGGTGGATTGCTGAATTAGCACTGTCCCTCAAAACGGTACTTCTATTCACTGAAAATTAACCCATCAAATCCAAATAGGTTGATAGTATCTCCTTGTAGGAGTATAACAGATTTGACCTCTACGAGTTGCCATATGTTCAATATAAATGGCAAAAGCTTGAATTGCTTTGAATTGTTGTGTGGTAGCTAATATTCTACAGATACTAAAATGCAATTAATCTAAGCAACACACCCACTCAATTCAGATTACCTTTGGTGGAGGGAGATTTACACTGTGTGGTATGGGTTCTTTTCCCTCTTTACCCTGTAAAGACACGTCTCAAAACACAGCTTATTTCACAGCAGATCAGAGAGATTTGCAGAAGATTGGAATAAAGCTGGAAGTAAAAAAAAAACTAAACAGATAAAAACTGTGCTGTTTTTCTGTGATCTATATAGAAAAGACCCTCATTATCTGAAAGAGAATGGGAATGAATGACTCACTCCTGTCTCAAAAAGGTAATCTGATTACACTGTTGCATTATTAACTTGCTTTCATCAGATCATGAATCCCAGGCCAGTGGTGCAGCCTTTCATAAAATTTGTGAACCAACAGAAATAAAATCTGATAATAAATTCACCTTCACCATTGGCAGACATGCCTCATTAGTGCCCATTTGTAATAATGTCCATGCTCTGTTCACTCTTAATATCTGTATGAGGTTTCCTTGTGGGTATATTGCTGTATATTTGGTTCTGTTGAGATCATTGTGGTTTTTGGATAATCATACTTCTGCAAGTAACAGGGCTAACCTTACTTCTGGAAATTCAACGGTTAGTGGTTTCCCCCTATTTTAATCAAGTTTATGTTCCCAAAGTGTGACTATGGCCCACCCACTATGATGCCCATCCATTATAGTGATTGAGAAAACGTTATGGATAACCGCAGGGTAAAACTAATTTCAGTAAATATTAGTTTGTACATTACCAAAATGTGTGTATGTGGTGGTTGGGTGAGGGGGGGTGGGGGGGTGTCATCCATCACTTTGTAACTGTACGAATACCTCATGTAAATAGGCTGTTAGATCCATGGGCTATAATTCTATTGAGATGGTGCTCTGTAAAGTGTTGGTGAGCATCATATGTAGGAGAAGGCAGAACAGCAATGATGATTACATGTTATAGACGACTGAATGACGATCCAAATTCATAATGCGGTTACATTAACTGTTAATACAGTATGGTGAATGATAGTCATTCATACAGTAATATCTTTTTCCTTGAGGTTATGATATGAAATAAGGCACTATTCCCATTAGAGTGAATGAAAAATAGTCGTCTTAATAATAATGAGCTGATCTGTAGCACAGCATTAAGTTCCGTCTCATTCAATGTCTGGCTCTGTTTCCTCGCTTTTTACTCACCTGGAATCGGTTTGAACAAATAATAAAAGTGGAGGCACGTTGTCATGGTAAGTAATGCACAAAAAATGTTGTGTTTTTTATTGGATAAAAAGTGTTTAACCTCTTGAGTGCTGAATTACTACATCAGTGTAACAACTAAATACGAAATGAATGGCCCAGCACAGTGAATGTATAGCACTGCCTTTTTGTTGGTCATTGAAGTCACAAATGTCATTGCTGGGCTACTGATGCTATAAGTAATGCTCCCATCTTTTATCTCCCATATTTTTTAAATTTTCTTGTACGTTGATTATTTTCCCTTCCGTCCCAGCAGAATTTTTCTTTATGCTCACAACTGCCGACAAGAAAGATATACAAAAACATGGAAACTGTTTTCATGCTTTTTATTTAAAAAAAGTGTCTGATTTGGGCGAAAGTACAGTTTATTTTAAAACGCAAGATTATAATCTCACATTTCTTTCTCCATCTGTCTTCCCTCTTTGTATTTCTTTGCCTTGTCCAAGTGAGAATGTTAAATTGAAATGCGAACCCCTTTATTTTGAAATAATCAGAGTGGTGCAGATTTGTGAAGGTTTGGAGTGACTGAATTAGCTTAACTTGCTGCTTGGGGCGTCTCACAATACTGAGAGGAAGAGGGATACAATTAAATTATAATGTCACAATTTCAAGTTGGTTTTGGGCAATTTGTCAAAAAAAACAGTTTGCCAGACCTCCATTCTCCACAATATTTATGTCATACATCACATTTAGCATCAAATTTACTTTAGTTCAATAATATTTCCTCAGATGACTGGAAAGTTGTAATTATTTATAAACGTGTTACCAGGCGCTATCAATCACTGAGCACGTAAGGGGTTTATCCATGATGTGTGGTATTTGTGGGGAAAAAAAACTTATCTGTCACCTTCTGCTTTATTTTACCCAAACGGAACAATTAAAGTGCCATTAGAGGCAATTGATTTTTAAATAAATTATTACAGTTAATTTGCTTGCAAGTACATTCACTGCCTGTTGAGTGCATTGAGACGTTTTAGCTATATAATAATAATCCTTGCATTTGATGTAGCGCCGTATCACATCATCTCAAAGCGCTTCATGGAATATATTGTAAAGTGAATTGGCTGTGTATTTTGTGACGCAGCACAGCCAATTGCACACAGCAGTGTTCCACATACAGTCGTAGATTGAGTGACCATATTTTTTTTGAGGGATTATTATAATAAGGTGCTATATTAAGTGCAAGGATTATTATAATTAAGGGTACCAGGCGCTATCAATCACTTTAGGAGTTCCCCAGCTACTACCACCCTATCATAGAGATTGAGGACCTGTCTGCAGCTCCAACTGTGGCCTTGGATTACTACAGAAGACAACAACAACAACAAACGGCACTTGTATCGTGCCCTTCACATAAGAAAGACGTCCTAGGGTGCCTGACACTCAGGGTTTTTTGGTTTACAGGTGTGTCTCTTCAGAGCTGTTTCCTCTTTAATAGGAAGACTCGTTGAGTCCTGTAGCTCAGTGGTTAGAGCACTCGCTTTGCAAGCGAGAGACCTGAGTTCAATTCCAGGCAGAGGGCGAAACCTTGGGCAAGTTTCCTTACTCCACACAGAGCCTAATAATAATCCCTCCAAAAAACAGAAACAATAATTAAATTGGTCATTTTCAATCTACGACTGTTTGTGGGACATTGCTGTGCGCAATTGGCTGCCGCGTTCGCCCACAAATATACAGTCAATTCACTTTACAGTGTGTTCTGTGAAGCGCTTTGGGACGTCCTCCTGACGTGAAAAGCGCTATATCAAATGCAAGGATTATTATTATTATTATTAAGACTCCATTCAACCACACTTAGCTTCTCTCTTACCCGTCCCCCAACCACCCCAGCAAACGTGGAGGAAATTTTATTACCCTCAAAAGGATGAAGGGTTGAATGGATCCTCCATGTTCAGAACTTGGAAGCCTCTGGCTGGAAGTCCAGTGCATTAACTTTTCATCCTGGAACCTGTGTGCCTAGTTTCTTCAACTTTATTGTATAGCTGAATTGACAAAACTGGTTGATATTTTCTGAATGAAATAAAAAAGTTAGATGACAAGATTGCTTTCAAAATCCATAGAATTATGAAAGTGCTGGGGACCGATTGTATAATTAGAAAGCTATTGAAAGATCATTATTGGTCTTTGAAAAATGAGGAATCTTCCTGGTGATTGCAGAAAATATTGACATCTCTTTTTATTGAATAATGATAGAAGGAGCTTATTATCTGAGGGCTCTGGTTGTAGATGGTAGATAAGATAACATGGCTTAATTACGCTACTGGTGTCATCTCCCGAAAGGTAAAATGAAGAAGGTAAAAATAGTGTATAATGTGATGTGAAGGAATATTCCTTCCTGGATGTATTCAATACAATTACAGCCCAATGTACATTTATATAGCTCCTTTCAAGTCAGGTGGACATCTCAAAGCGTTTCATATATGTTCAATTTGTCCCGGTTTATTTCCTGGAAGGTATCTGATGTGAAATCTTGGTAANTTTTTTAAAAATAATTTGAAGAAATTATTTGGGCTACAATGCCTGTATCAAATTATTTAAAGTGCTCTATAAAGTGTGGCACGATCTTGGAAATGGGAATCTTGTCATAGATGTTTACATAGATTGTAAGACACGGATGTTCGGCTGCGCTAGTCCACACCAGTGTTTATACATTACGCGAGTGCTAAATAATTTGCATCGGCCGGGAATCGAACCCGGGTCTCCCACGTGGCAGGCGAGAATTTTACCATTGAACCCCCGATGCACATGTGTTAAGTGAGAATCACAGTTCACAAATTCGGATTTACAGGAATTGAGTGATGTTAGGCAACAGCTATGATTATTGTTATATTGAAAGATGTTATTGTAAAAGTATTACATTTTATATTTTAAAAAATCAATACAATACCATACATTTATACAGTATGAAATGTCAGGAGGACATCCCGAGTTACTGAACAATCCTGCCTTGGAACTGAGCTGGGGGTGGGAGCCAAGGGGCGAGGGGTTGAGAGGGGAAAGATGACCAAAAGCTTGGTCAAAGAGGTAGATCTTCAGACGGCCCTTGAAAGAGGTGAGGGAGCGAGTCAGAGGGACTCCAGGACTTCCAGAGAATCAGCAGGAAACTGATATTAAATCTTCTCAATTGACCAGCTCATCACAAGCATCCTGGTAGCCTTTGTCCTGACCGACACTGACTGATTGTCAGATCAATGCTTTCAACAACCGCACAATTAGGAATCTGCCTCGTCGCGCCCTCAAAACCTCCAGTCCTTCAAGTGACATTTTGTTACCAGCATGTGGAGGCAATTACTGCACAATAAATGCACAGAGATCTTTAAACAAGCTTGCAAGCAGAAATAAGTTAAAACTCGCACAGCCAGCTGGAATTGAAATACATTTAGGTGCACCCGTGAATCTAACCTGGCTCGGTCCCGGGATCCGTTACTGTAAAGCGCTCTAAGACGCCATCCGGCGTGGAGGGCGCTATATAAATCCAAGTTGTTATTTTATATATATATTCAGAATGTTGGCTTTGTTTTTCTGTAATCTGTGAGCAATTCCTTTGAGCCACTGAGCTAATCATCTTCTTACTGCCTGTGCTGCACTTTCTAACAAGCTGCATGGTGTGCTTATAGAGGTAGACTCCGTTTGAGAAAATAGCTCAGATTGGATAATGAATGTAACATTAGCAAGGTTTTTCAGGATGCTTCATTGGTGATTTGAAAGTGTGTGATTCCTTGGATCATCTGTTGTGTGACACCACAGTGTAGCAGGACGCAGTTAGCCTATAAAATACACAGTCACTACTCTTTACAGTAAATCCTGTGAAGCGCTTTGAGACGTCCTCCTGAAGTGGAAGGTGCTATATCAAATACAAGGATTATTTTAAGGTTCAGCATAGGATATATGGACCTGCATATTACGCTCAAAGTAATATATTGAGAGTTGATTAACAAACAATCTGTTTGCTGTGAATGTTCTGTGGATACATACATGTCTCTCATTTCTATCACCTATCCATTTCAAAAGTAAGAAATTATTCTCCAAATATTGTCTAACCAAACATTGAAATTATTAATTCCACATTTCACTCAAAAAGGTAATCTATTTAGTATTTGGTTTCTGAAGCTCATTATAATGACAATAAAGGTAAATGTTCTTTCCAGAACCTGCTCCTCTCTGATCAAAAGCTTATTTGAATGAACTACAAGAACAAATGCAGATGGCTGTTTAAACTTACCATTCATTACATTGTTCGACCCATAGTTGTCAACACTCTCTAGTAATGTTTTATGTTGTTGAAGGTTGGCAGGTAAAATACCGTATGTTCACCTTTAGCTCTCAAACCAGAACTATCTTCATTCCCCGCCTAATTATTAATTTCATGCACAAGACATGACTGCCCATGCTCTACAACACACCTTAATGCCTGCTTCTCTGCATTTAATTACTTTAAGAAATTTAGCTTAGATTGTTCTGTCTTATTGCATTAACAAAACACAAGCAGATTCCTCTACTTCTCCAATTAAGTATTTTAAAGGGCTCCTGATACCAATTTCTTTAAATCACTAATCGACTTGTAGAAAAGGTTGACACGTTTGCCTGACTTACTAATGGAAGGGTAGAGTTGTCACTGAAATCATGGTTCTACTCACTTGGCTCCTAATAAGCCTTGGAACTGGCAAGTGTCACAGTTTAAGATGGTTGAATTCTAGGAATATACCAATGGAGCACCATGATGCCTTCTCTTCCACCAAGCTGTGTCCTCAAAGTTTGCAAATGGAGCTTTGTCCCTCAAGGAGAGACTGAGCTTAACAAAATTGGCAAATGGAAATTCTGCTCTTGTGAATTTTCGTGAGCTGAACCGAAGCCTCTTAACCACAGCAATGAGTTTCTAAGTGTGTTATAAATCTGACTGACACAACAGTAATTGCTGACAACGAATTGTGTATTTGGAAGCTCCGTTTTGAACCTTTAAATAATATTGATGTTAATTATGCTGGCTCTAGCCAACTCCCCTCTCCCTGACGATTTTCCAAAGATTAATTATAAAACACATGAATGTTGTCCTCTTGTCTCTAAATAAATGTTCTGTTCTTTGCAATAAATAGGTATTTAATAAATAAATGTAATATTTTTATAAGTAAATAAATGCTCCACATTTATTGAGATACAACATTAAATTTAAACCATTTTGGAGAAATAATTCAGACATTTTACTACAATCCCAACCATGAATGTTTGAAAAGAGCCCAGTGAATTTTCGATGGGAGAGAGACATCTAGCAGTGTGGATCCTCTAGTCAACAGAGCAAGTGGGAATGAGGAAGCAACCTTTTAAATTCACAGAATCCTATCTTTGGGTTTATTTCCTCAGAGCTATTGCACACGGTGATGTCTTGACATTCAAAAGGCTTTGTTTGTCCTTTGCTCCAAAATTGCTATTTCATGCTCATCAGTGACTTGTTTCTTGTAGCTCAATGAGAACATTTGAGTTGATTATTTCAGAGCACGAGACTCAAGAATAATGGAATAAAACTGAATAATTTATTCAGCACCAGGGAACAATTTATGCACAAGATTTGAGGAAATGTCACATGCAATTAGTCTTTTTCCTCCATATTTTCACACATGTTAAGAGAACACTTTACAATTTAAAAGGTGAACTGTGGACCTGATAATAAATTACTATTTTTAAAAACCTGACATTTAAAAACTTTTTAACAATAGAGTACTACTGTTCACCTCAGAAAACCCATATTCAGAGCCAGATCAAACTTAATTGAATGTCTTCTCTCATTACTTGCTACAGTCTGACTATGGCTTGTTATCCTCTAATATTTCAGTTATTTAAAAATCATATATTGGCAGCAAGTGGGGAGGAAGAAAAATTAGTCAATATAAATCATAATTCAATCAATTGTGTAGTAAAATGTATTGGGAATCATTCAGTGAAGTTATATGCTTTCTTCAATAACAGAAAACTCTCAAACTAGTTCCTGGTAATGTCACTTTGAGTGTAACCTATACTGTGAAGATTTTATTTTTCATCATTTGTGGTGATTGGAAGTGTTCCAACTGGAGGAAAATGATAGCGACTCTATTTTCACCTATCAAAAGGAGAGCTGCACTTTCTTCAGCTTGTGAAATGTCATTAAAATCTTACTTAAAGAAGCGTTGTTGGAAAATCTCATTATCTGTATTGCAAAAGGCTTGTGATCAGACACTAGTTCTTCATTTTGATTAGATGAGGTTATATTCCTATAAATAGGTTCAAAATGTCCTTCAGAATTCACCTTAAAAGAGAACTGGCAAGATATTTTGGCAAGATATTTTCAGTAAATGAAAAGCATAATAAAATAATCCTTGCATTTGATATAGTGTTTTTCAAGTATTCTAGACATCTCAAAGCGCTTCACAGAATAACCATAAAGTGAATTGACTGTATATTTGTGGGTAAAACGCGGCAGCCAATTGTACAAGGCAGTGTCTCACAAACAGTCATGGATTGAAGTGACCAATTTATTATTTTTTTTTCTTGAGGGATTATTATCAGCCGTGTGGAGTAAGGAAACTTGCCCACGGTTTGGCCCGGCTGGGAATCGAACCCAGGTCTCTCGCTTGCGAGGCGAGTGCTCTAACCACTGAGCTACAGGACTCCACTGACACCATCATATCTATTAGGAAGATGTGTTTCTTTTGACTAGTGTATTTTTAAAGGTTCATCATAAGAAATGTCAAATCTTCTGCTTTGCTGATGAAGAATTACACAAGCATTTTTAACAAAACGACTAGAAAAGAAACAAGGGTTAAATGTAATAATTGCAAACATGTGGCGTTTCACGTGTCAGATTTGCAGCCTCTAGCTTATCACTTCAGTGATTGTGGAGTCTAGAATATAAAAAGCTGAAAATGTAAACCATTGCATGGAAAGAATAACTAGGATAGCAGCTAGCTTTGCAGCAAGGTGAGATGCTAAGTACCTAAGAAAAGCATTGGGCAATGGTCTTTCGTGTTAATAATGTGTTGACAGCATTGATGATAAATGCAATATCTGGAATGGGAGGCCCTTTCACAGTGAAAAGTGAAGCAGTGTTGAAAGCATCTCAGCAACATAATGCATTAAATTAGGTGAAATGAGAGGCTCTCGATTTGAATTGATTTGAACACTGGATTTGAACACTGCTCTTTCATGCCTTGGACATGCATTCAGAATTGTCACCTTTTCTCTCTCACTCTAATAGTTTATAATGGTTCTAACTGAGAAAATTCAGTACAGCTCTACGTGAGCAGGAGCCTGAGTCTGCTAATTAATGCTCTCACTCAGAGACAATAAATGATGGCTGTTGCAAGAAATGGAAACTTGTTATAGTGGTGCAGTGTGTGTGAGCTTTACCCTATGTCTAAAGAGAAACGACGCAGCAAATAAGTAAAATGATTCCTAGTTTCAAAAGTTGGCATTACATCCAACATGTTAAAAGATACTACATTCGAAGAGATGGTTGATTCTTTCTCAAAAGTTTGCCTGTAATATAAGTTATCTCACGTTAACTGGTCTGGAGGAGGAGTGTTCATAGCATCATAATGATCATCCTTGTGGTCAATCTGGCATCATGCAGGTTTCTGAGTCAGAAGGTTGTGGGTTCAAGTCCCACGTCGGGGTTTTGAGCTCACAGTCTAAGCTGACATTCCAATGCAGTGCAACGGGAGGCACCGTCCCTCATGTAAGACGCTATAACAAATGGAGATTGTCACAATGGTATTAAGCCAATCCACCCAAATGATAATGGAGTTGAAGTATGCAAATAGTGGCAGAATATCAGGAGAGCATGCTAATGGATAAATGATCTATATTTAGTCTATTCTCAGCATTCCTATCATTGAAAAACCGAGATCAAATTGCAAAACCAGAGAGGGAACGGTCCATTTAGGAGCACCTAGAAAGGTACGTAGAAGGTCTTACTGTATATTCATTTTCCCTAATATCCATGATTCCACTGGATTTCTACATTATTATGAATATCTGTCAGAAAGGTTTTTGGGGGAGGCACATGTCATAAACAACTTGAACTTTCCCTTATACACATGTATGTTCTGCCCAATGTGCAGCAAAACAAATGCTTGTCTTAATATTGTTTTCCAGGTCCTTTGTGGTACACTGATGGTGGTGATAGCATGCTATCCATCTCCTTAGCACATTAGAGAAGATATTGCCCTCCACAAATAATATCATAGAATCAAAGAAATTTATTGTGCAGGAGGCAATGTTACCCATCCAGTCTGCACAAGTTTTCAGAGTAAGGTGTTCATTCAATCCCAGTACAGTACCTTACCATATAATAATAATAATCCTTGCATTTGATATAGCACCTTATCACGTCTTCGAGACGTCTCAGAGCGTTTCACAGAATATATTGTAAAGTGAATTGACTGTATATTTTGTGGGTGAAACACGTCAGCCAATTACACACAGCAGTGTCCCCCAAACAGTCGTGGATTGAGTGAACAAATTAATTTTTTTTGAAGGAATTATTTACCCCCGGAAAAGCGATCTGCCAATCGACTATATCTCCAGCCGCCCCCTCCACCTTCAAATCTCTATCTTTTATATTCCTACTTATTTCCCACTTGAAACCCATAACAGTCTCTGCCTCTAACACCTTACCTGACTGGGCAATTCACAGCCCAACAACTCTGACCTCTATCAGACCACCATGTACAGTTTACTTCAGATTTCCAGCGCCTACAGTTTTTTAAAAATCTGTTGCCAATATTGATTCACTTAAACCTTTCAGAAGGACTTTGAACACATGTGGCTGACCCCAGGATTTAGTGGAATGATTGGTGCAAAGCAACCACAAAGCAATCTATAGAAATCAGTTGCCTCGCTGGTAATACATAAAGGCTTAATGAGAAAAGATTTGAGCGCAGCGAAAAAAAGGATCTCGATATCAGCAGCTCGAGGCTTTATTTTCCAGATCACATGGAAGGTAGGAAGGAGGAAGGTAAAAGGTGTGAATAAAGAATTATAGGATTCCAATTCTCAATCAGAACAATAGTGTACAACAGATTTCTTGGATTTTATTCATGTTGGCAGATTTATATCTGTATATAACTACGTGAACACTGGAATCCCATAGTCAAGCTAAAGAAACAGATAATAATCTTTACATTTGATATAGTGTCTCTTACGTCAGGAGGATACTTCAAAGTGGTTCACAGGATATACTGTAAAATGCAATAACTTTGTATTTTGGGGGAGCTAATTTGTGCATCGCAACGTCCCACAAACAGCCATGAAGTGAAAAACCACTTACTTAACACTTGCAAAATCAATGTTTCTAGGAAATAGGGACTCAATGTTTCTACCATGTGTGGGGTTGCAAGGTTGGTCTTGTTGGCCAGACATTCATAAACGTACTAGGTCTCTCCTTAAGTAAGGGGCCCAGCTGAACCAACGTGCCAGGATTTGTTTGGGCTGTATTGCAGCTTAGTGGTTAGAGCACTCGCCTCGCAAGCGAGAGGAACCAGGTTCAATTTCTGGGCAGGGCGACACATTGGGCAAGTTTCCTTACTCTAGTCAATTCCTTTTACAGTATATGCTTTGAAGCGCTTTGAGACGTTTTGAAGATATATCAAACGCAAGGATTATTATTGGTTTAAAGGTACATTACGCCAGCTGCTGTGCAGCAACATTACTTTCCACTCTGCACCTTTGCTAAGTTTATGACCCATTTCTTTGCAGTGTGATTGCAAATGTATTGACAATTCTGAGTTCATCAAAGCATGTGACATGCGAGCGCAGCCAAATGTGTGATAAAGAGCTAATGAGAAGACATTGACGAGAATTGCTCAGACGTTAGATAACTATGTTTGTTCACTTTAGGTCTGCAAACACACAATGGTGCAGCTGTGCCACCTACCAATTGTTTTATGTCATTCATTCAGTTCGTCCAAACCCAGCGATTAGCAAAGAAAAAAGCCGCTCAAAGTGTGCAATTTGGAGATTAATTCTCCCCCCTCAGATCTAGTTTTTTTTTAAAAAACGTCGGCTAACGTCTCACACCCATCGCCGTGCTTAGAAATATCCAAACCAGATTGAGAGTTCCATGCATCCCACCTGCACACACCGGAAATTCACACCGGAAATTCATGTGGTTTGGGATGGAATGCGCACAATGTCCTCAGAGAGAGGGGGTTCTTATCAAATTCCGGAGAGTATTAGGCAGTAGGTGTGCTGCTGGAGTTTCACCGGCTAAAGCCACGTAGCTTATCCTTGAGAGCGCCGTTTGATTAACAGTTGTTTATTTCTCTGTAATTATCAATTTAATCAGATAATAATAATAATAAAAATAAAACAAAGAGCACGCTCGCCTCTTGAGTCCGAAGTTTGATTCCAGACCACATCGAAATTTTGAGCTCAAAGTCCAGGCTAACACGCTAATGTTCTGTGATCTGTGTTCGTCAATATCATTGGCGTCTGTGTTTCGTGGAGTAATTTGGACCCATAAAACGATCAAAAGCTAAACCAAATGACCACACCTCTCGTTTACATCAGCGAACCACTGTCGAACCGAGGGATTCCCAAGGCATGAGCGCTTGTAAAACTGTACATGGAAACAATTTATCCTCTGCAATTGCAAACCAATGCAAATTCAGAGTTAAAGGTTAGAAAGTCAGAGTGTTTGTCTTTGTCAAAGCCACGATTCTGAATGCGCACTGCGTTGAACTTTTAGCTCTGAATTTGCATTGGAGTGAATTCAACGCAGAACGAGCTCCGACGCTCAACATTCACTTTGAAGTTGGTGATTTCCAGTCGAGGGCTTGTCGTTTTCCCCTGTGTTGCGACGTAAGGCAGCGAAGGGGGGGGGGGGGGGGGGTTGGTAAATAAAGTTAATAGTAAGCCTTGCATTTGATAAGAGAGCCTTATCACGTCGTGGAGACGTCTCAAAGCCCCTGGTGGTGCGCACAGTCCTGTGAAGTGGGTGTGTGGGACTGTGTATTTGGGGTGGGGGGGGGGGGGGGGGAGACTGTGTATTGGGGGTGGGGTGGTGGAGGGAGGGGGGGGACTGTGTATTGGGGGTGGGGTGGTGGAGGGAGGGGGGGACTGTGTATTGGGGTGGGGTGGTGGAGGGAGGGGGGGGACTGTGTATTGGGGGGTGGGGTGGTGGAGGGAGGGGGGGGACTGTGTATTGGGGGGTGGGGTGGTGGAGGGAGGGGGGGGACTGTGTATTGGGGGTGGGGTGGGAAGGGGAGGGAGGGGGGGGGACTGTGCATTGGGGGGTGGGGTGGTGGAGGGAGGGGGGGGGACTGTGTATTGGGGGTGGGGGAGGGGGGACTGTGTATTTTTTTTTGTGCAACGAATTGTGGTCCAGTGAGTTCCACTCCTCCTTTGGGCACAGGGTGGGAAGGAGGAGGAGGAAGGGGTGGGGTGGGGGGGGGGGGGTGAGGGGGGGGGGGGTTCCTGGCTCTTTGGAAAGGCTTTAAAGAAGATGCAACTGTGCGCAGCGCCTCCTCTGAGAAAGGAACCGGAGTGTGAGCTGAGCGGTTGCGGTGAACGCGGATAAACGCGGAGACCACTCTCCCTCCTCCAGCGCCGACCCAACACTGACAGCAGTCGATCGCACACACACCCCCCCCCACCCCACCCCAAACACCCCCCCACACACACACACCCTCACACACACACACACACACCCCCCCCCCAACACACACCCTCACACACACCCTCACCCACACACACACCCTCACCCCCACACACACACACACCCTCACCCCCACACACACACACCCCCCCCCAACACACACCCTCACACACACACCCTCACACACACCCTCACACACACCCCCCCCCCCCCCAAACACCCCCCCACACACACACCCTCACACACCCCACACACACACACACCCACACACCCCCCCCCCACCCCAAACACCCCCCCCACACACACACACCCTCACACACACACACACACACCCACACCCTCACACACACCCCCCCCACCCCAAACACCCCCACACACACACACCCTCACACACACACACACACACACACCCACACCCTCACACACACCCCCCCCACCCCAAACACCCCCCCCACACACACACCCTCACACACACCACACACACACACACCCTCACACACACACCCCACACACACCCACACACCACACCCCCACCCCACACACACAACCCTCACCCCCACACACACAAACCCTCACCCCCACACACACAAACCCTCACCCCCACACACACACACCCACCACCACCCAAACACCCCCCCCACACACACACCCTCACACACACCCCCACACACACACCCCCACCCCAAACACCCCCCCACACACCCCCCCACACACACCCTCACACCTCCCCCTCCCCCTCCCCCCCCCCCCGCCCTCACACCGACCGAAGAGGAAGGAAGAGGAGAAGACCATCGGGGGCCGCGACCCGCGACCTTCCTCCCCTCCCAACCCCAACCCATTACGCCTCCACCCCTCGACCGGAGGGCGGGAGGGATGGAGACCGAGAGCCGCTGCCCCTCACACGAGCTCGCGGGGGCGGGAGGAGGAGGAGGAGGAGGAGGTGCGGGAGGAGAGGCGGCGGCGGCGGCGGCGAACGGCAGCTCGGGCGGGACGCCCCGCCGGGCGGACCGAGGCGTCGGGGCCGGGGTCGGGGGCCCCGAGGCCATGATCGTGCCGGTGGCCTTCGGGCTGGTCTTCGTGCTCGGGCTGGTGGGCAACGGGCTGGTGCTGGCCGTGCTGGGCCGGGCCAAGCCCGGGCGGGCGCGCAGCGTCACCAACGTGCTGGTGCTGAACCTGAGCCTGGCCGACCTGTCCTTCCTGGTGCTGTGCGTCCCGTTCCAGGCCACCATCTACACGCTGCCCGAGTGGGTCTTCGGCGCGCTCCTGTGCAAGTGGGTGCACTACTTCGTGACGGTGACCATGCTGGTCAGCGTCTTCACCCTGGGCGCCATGGCCGTGGACCGCTACCTGGCCGTGGTCCGCGCCCGCCGCTCGCAGGGGGTCAGGAACACCCGCAACGCCGCCCTGGGGGTGGCCGCCATCTGGGGCCTCTCGCTCCTGCTGGCGGTGCCGGTGCCGTGGCACCAGGCGCTGCTGACCGGCGTCCAGCAGGCGCCCAACCGGACCTTCTGCTGGGAGCAGTGGGCCGACCGGACCCACAAGCAGGTCTACAAGGCCACCGTCCTGGTGGTCGGGTACCTCCTGCCTTTGGCGCTCATCTGCTGCTGTTACGCGAAGGTGAGTCCCCGAGTCCGATCCTCTCCTCTCTTCCCTCCCGACTCTCTCCCCTCCCGACTCTCTCCCCTCCGACTCTCTCCCCTCCCGACTCTCTCCCCTCCTCTCCTCCCCTCCCGACTCTCTCCCCTCCCGACTCTCTCCCCTCCCGACTCTCTCCCCCCCTCTCCTCCCGACTCTCTCCCCTCCCGACTCTCTCCCCCCTCTCCTCCCTCCCCCCTCCCGACTCTCTCCCCCCCTCTCCTCCCCTCCCAACTCTCTCCCCCTCCTCTCCTCCCCCCGCTCTCCTCCCCTCCCGACTCTCTCCCCTCCCTCCTGGGATTTTTTGTTTGTTTGGGGGGGGGTCGGTTCCTACCGATCCCCACAGCCGACCGTTCGATGGCAAAAGGCGGTGGGGTTCCCTCTCGGACCAATTCGTTCACAGAGGGATTGGGGGGAAGAGGGGTTGAGGGGTTGGAGGGAGAGGGGTTGGGGGTTGGGGGAGAGAGCTGCGCACCTCAGGGGGGAACTCACGCAACACGTTTGCGGAATTCGCAGTGGTTTAGGGCTTCTCGTGGAAGGGGTCGTTTCCCCAATACAGTGCGTTTTTGTGCGTGTGGTGCGCGTTGTGTGTGTCTGTTTATGTGTGTATGTGTTGTGTGTGTATGTTTATGTGTGTTGTGTGTGTGTGTATGTGTTGTGTGTGTATGTGTTGTGTGTGTGTTGTGTGTGTTTATGTGTGTTGTGTGTGTATGTGTTGTGTTATGTGTGTTGTGTGTTGTGTGTGTACGCGCGTAAAACGCACACAAATCCTTTCCCATCATTTCGGAACGGAACGGAACGAAACGAAACGAAATGAAATGCGCTGTCGGGCGTTTTGACACTTTCCAGGGTCCGGCACTGCCGACAGTGCGTCACGTTGTGTGTCCGCTCTCTCTGGTCAAACCCCATCCCTCAAGAAAACCTGGTCCTTAAGAAATGCACTCCACAACTTACTTACTTTTTAAAAGCACGTTGTCCCGATTCCTAACCCACCTTCCACACCTCCTGGTCTGCCCTCTCCCTCTCTCTCTCCCCACCCCACCACCCCCCCATCTCACCCCCCACCACCCCCCCATCTCACCCCCCCAGCAGTTGGGAGGAAGAGTTGAGATGCATTGCATTTGCACAACAGGTTGCAAAAACTTAACACACCCTTATTAACCGACTGGGTCTTCCTGCCTTAGGTTTTATTTCACCTGCACAGAAAGATAAAGAACATATCGAAGAAATCCAGGAGATCCAAGAAAAAGGTAAGGACTTGTTCAGCACAAGTACCGACCTCCGCGCGTTACCCCCTTCCTCCTTCCTCATCCATCTCCCTCACCTCACCTGTCCCCGAATCGTGTACGTTTTAATTACTTATTTGCTCTTGAAAAGCACTGGGACCTGGAGATCTGGTGCGCATACAGTATTGTACTCTCCGCAAAAGTCGAGACATTAAGCATTATTTCACCCAGCTACTGTGTCTTCAGGAGTGGAGCAGTATAGGGAAACTCGGCTCCTCTTCTGTGCTTCTTATTTTTAACTTGTTTATCTACCAGGAACAAGTGGGTTTGTAAATGTTCTTAACAGTGGAGCCAAATAATGCCATTCGAGGCGTCAGGTCGGTTTGCTTTCATTTACAATTGTTGGTAAACACACGTGAAAAGGAACACGGGTACAGTATCAAACGAGCTGGAGGCAATTGGCAGTTTTAATGGTGTGTAAATGCGGTTATACTGTTCAATAAATATAATTCCAAACAACAAGGTTAAATGTGCATTTGTAGCTGTAAGCTTGACTGGACTGTTACTACTGTGGCTCTATGAAGGATAAAATGCTTCAGCTTCAACTTTATCTTAAGTGCCACCTGCCCAGCAATGATTATATTCAGATTGTGATATATTAGTTTTGGAAACTATTTTCTTATGTCGTGCATTAACTTCACCTTTGGGATCCAAACAGGTTTGAGAGTTATTTCCATATTCAGAAGCCACAGTTTGTGTGCTCCCCTGCGGGTAGCTGGTTTCAGCAGCTTAATTCCCCTTATTCAATCTTTGTCCTTTACAAGCTTGTTTAATTTCTGACACCAAGTGGAATTTTCTTTCCTGGCCTCAATCCAATCTTAATTCCTCTCATCGTTCTCTCTCGCGCTCTCTGAGATCTTGGAGTATCGGCGCCAGCCGCTCTCCAGTACTTCAGTCAGTGCCCATTCTTCATGTGTGAGCTCAGACGCTGAATGTTGGCCAGCTATTTAACCATGAGAGTCGGCACCACCAAGCCGGGTCTTGTACTTGCCTGAGATTAACAGACGAGCACTTTTCAAAGTTGATTACTAGAGAATGATCACTCGCGCCAAGCCAGAAATTGTTTTTCCCCCTCTCTTGTCCCAGGGGTGTTGAACCAAATTGTATTACCCTACAGCCAGCCCTGGTTCATATCAGCTAACACTGCACAGACCAGGAATCAGCGCTGACTAGTGCAAACTGGAATTTTATAATAACCCTTGCATTCAGTCAGAGGATGTTTTAAACTTGGTAAGATTTACTGCGAAGTGGAGTGACTGTGTATTTTTAGGCAAATGTGGCAGCCCAATTGGACATAGCAATGTCTTGCCAACAGCCTTGAAACGAATGGCTAATTTTATTTTGGGAATTGTTGGCTAGGACACCGGGAGAAATGCCCTTCTCTTTAACTTCCACCTGAACAGGCAGATGAGACTTCAGTTTAACGTCTCAACCAAAGGATGGGACCTCAGACAATGCAACACACTCCGCGCACTGCGTTGGAGTGTCACTCACCGATGGTATGGCAGAGCAGGTCGGGGATTTGAAGAAGACTTGTGTTTGATTAAATTCAGGCTTTTTGAAGTAAATTCTGAGAGCAGAACTTGATTATGTATTCAGGTGTAAAGTGAACAAGTCTCAACCAAAACTAGAGATAAGAGTTTTTCCCCCTCAGAGTAGTGTCCCATATATATACACACATGAATCAGACTTGTAACGCAAACAGTTAATGCTGTGATAATTAAACCTAAAATGAAAGGGATGAATATCTGTTTGAGAACAATATACTAGTTACAGAGAGGTGAAAATGAATTTGTAGATGATCAAATGTTCCACGTAACACAATGGTGTCTGGGCTGCTGAAGCTGGGAGGATGTGGGAACTGTTCGCTTCAGAAGGAAGCGGGTTAGGTTTGATGTGAAGGAAGATTCGTTACTCTTGAGCTTTTCCTTAATTATGCATAATAAAAAAATAAGTATCAGATAATACAAACCTCTTCAACACAATCTCACACAATTCCTATCAGTCTCCATTTTTCATTATGCTGCATTACCCATGCTATATGTCATGATTCTCCTATTATCTCCGATAGCATAACATCTGTGCAAAGCCCGGGAAGTTACCTACTGAGAGCACTGAGTGCAAATAGGTTAGCTGTGCTGAAATAAGCGATCCGAGCAGGAGCCAAAGCTACGCGTTGTTGAGGAGCTGGTTTTAATGAAACATGAGCATGCTAGCTGGCAGAATCTTTATTAAGAGTTCTGGCCACGGATACAGAGAATTCCCTGCAGTGAAACTATATTCCTTGTCACTAAAAAGTGATCCATTTTCCGATTAACTTTTAATCTATTTTAAGGAGTGATTTGTTTTCCAGCTTTCAAAATATGGCGTTTTATCCACAAAATATACAGTCAGTTTACTTTACAGTATAATGTGTGAAGCACTTTGACAACGTCTCGAAGACGTGATAAGGCGCTTTATCAAATTCAAGGATTATTATTAATATAGACCTTGTTTCTTTTATACAGAACAGGCACCTAGAAAAATGTGAAATGTATTGTGAGAATAAAACAATAAAACAACTATGTTGATCCTCTTTATGTGTTTAATAAAACTGCTCCAGAATTGCTCCTTAACTCCCTTCCTAACCTGTATAACAGCCCTCCCCACAAGCACTCCTCCTGTCCACACAAGTATCAAAACGATCTAACTTGTTGCTTCATACCCATTCTTTTGTCCCATTAAAAGTAATAAGAGTCATGCAGATATACCAATTGTACTTTGGTATTGAGCACATTACAAGTGTTCCAGCTTGTATAGTCCTCAGTGAGAAATTACCAATTCTTTCTGAAATGCAGTAAAATAATACGATTCTGAATTTAATATTTGTATTTTTATTGGTACTCATTCTTGGATACAACAACAACTTGCACTTGTATCGTACCCATCGAGCATGATAGCGTCTTGGAATGTTTAAACAGAGTACAGGGTAATAATCCCTCCATTACAAAAACATTGGTCATTCAATCCACAGCTGGTTTTGGAACAATGCTGTGCGCAAGTGGCTGCCACCTTTCACCCACAAAGTACACAATCAATCAACTTTACAATATATTCTATGAAGTGCATTTAGACGTCTCAACGATAATATGATGATAAGGCGCTATATCAAATGCAAGTATTATTATTATTACTACAGGACACAGAGTAATGTTCTTTTCTCCACAGACTGCAAAGACTGTAATGCTGGTTGTTGCTGCATTCCTTCTTTCCTGGCTGCCGCATCACATCATAACCATGTGGGTTGCATTTGGAAACTTCCCAATAACAGACGCCTCATTTGTTTTCCGAATCATCGCTCACTGTATGGTGTATGGCAACTCCTGCATCAATCCCATAATATACGCTTTCCTGTCAGAGAACTTCAGGAAAGCCTGCCAACAAGTCTTCACGTGCAAATGCTTTTTGCCGCCTCCCATTGAGGAAAAGGTGGTGAGGATTCGCATGGAGACCTTTTCCACCACCCATTCAATAACAAACGCTTGAGACTGTTCTTTGGATCTGTATATTATTGTGACTGAGCAAATGTACCTTATATGTACTGAAACTGCACATCCAATGGGACTCATATGACATATGGGATGCAGGTATTGATTTGGATAACACAACAACAACTTGCATTTATATAGCACCCTTCACAGGGGGTTGTGTTCAGAGCATTTTAACTACCAATAAATGTCCAAACGATGATTGCACAGATGCATCTGTAAAACCAACTGAAGAGTATAAGTGAGTGCTCCAATATCTCTCGGCTAAAAATGTACTCGGTTGCATTTTTCTGTACGTGCACATGTTGAGTAGAAATAAGCTGGTTAAATTGTGTGATAAAGGGAAACCGCAATGACATCAAGTATAAGTTATTGACAAATATTCTAATCAGAAGCAGCAATGGGTCAGATTGGAATCATTCTGGATGTATTGGACGATCACAAATGAACTCGAAACTTAAAGAGGACAATGCAAAAAGAGCACTTTATGGTATTTTGCTAAATTATTAATTCACACAAACAGTTTGAGTAGAAGGAAAGAACCTGTGTATCTATAGCGCCTTACCACGTCAATACTATTTAAACTGTCTTGCAGTAATCATTACCATTGTGTAGTGACTGTATTTTTTCTAGGCAAATAGGACATTCAAGGGATAAGTTAAATGTTGGAGACCAGTTTCTCTATATACGCTGCTGATTGCTCAGAGCCTTATTGATTCTACCATTGAGCCATTGCCGACTCATGCTCCTTAGTGAGACCTGGGCCCATGCTTTGGTTCCCATGAGGGAAAAATATGGAAGAATCTTCAGGAACTATACTTTCTGCCCTCTGGTATTGAAGTAAAACAAGGTACATTTGAGCTTTAGCTGCAGTTATTTCAGTACTACTAATTTGTTTACAATGGTTCATATTTCTGCTAGCAATTGATGAAGTATCTTTCCAGGGGTATATTTCAATGATTTTCTAAATGCAGCTGGATGCAGTAACTTTTAGTTCACTAGCGTGTTGTACAGAAGCATGGGAAAGAATAACATGAGTTATTTTATTGGTCATTATTCATACCGCTGCTTAGTACAAACCTCGTACTGATGTCCTTTCAAATAAGGGAGCTGACAGTTTAATGCACATTAGGTTGTAGAATATAAGAGGTAACTAAGAAAACCTTGCCATTTGAGCTCAGAACCTTAGGGATGACGGCAAACAATCAAAGCAGGATTTTGTGTGTATTACCAAGCCTATAAATGATCTGAAAATCTAGAATGGATTGCAGAATATACACAATCACAATCTTTTCATGTGCCTAGTTTAAATCAAATTGAGATACTTTCAAACAATCTTATGAAATACCTAAGAGTTACTACAACTAATTGAATGGTATATCCGGAGTAAGATTCCCACCTACATCCAGATTTACTTTTTAGGATAATATTTCAGTGTGCAGAATTTGGCAAATTGTCGAATTCAGTTTTAACATTTAAAAGGACTTACAGAAAACTGGCTTCAAAATTAAAGACTGCATTTAAGAATTTAAGAAATTCTGAACACTCTGAAATGTTACGGTAATAGAGTAAATCTAGACTCAGTTGGAATTTCTACCCAATTTTATCCAAACTGAGAATTTAAAAATCTTTAAAATGACAACTACTGGATTACTAATCCACAGCCATAGTTCTACTGTTTTTCTTCTGCAAACTGAACTGATGTCTGCGATTTTTTTTTTACTTATTTGGTTAAAAATGAAACGTCACTGAGGCTTAGTTAAAAATTAAATGAGGTTCTGAAAACACTTGTTTCCAATAAAGTGCTGCAAATTGCTTGTTTTATTTGTGGAGTCAAATTGTAACTGTGCATTTTGTTCATGTTAGATGCAAGCCTGTGCTCTTTGCAATTCGTGTTTGTGGATCACAGAGCTAGGAACTAATGATAAGCAGTGATCAGCATCATTGTTAAATGAATGTACGAATCTCAGTCTCCTGGAGAGAGAGGTTAAGTCACTGAAATGATTCATATTTCAACTATGATTCCTGATGAACAATATACAATCCTAGTTCAGTACTAAATCATACAAAATAGATGTACCGTATTGGTTAGATGTCTATTGTGCAAGTTGCAAGTTTATTTGCTTTTAGTTAAAATCATCTCAGAAATATTGAAATCTGAGGACATGTATATCACGTGCACAGAAAACATAAAAATGACCAGTTTGGATGTCCAGCTTATTGAGCAGTGTGCCAGTTCCTGCTGGATATGTATTGATCCAGTTTGTGAATTTTTTCTCGAAATATTTTGCGTCAGTGTGTTAAGTATGATTTTGCTATTGTTCACAACTTGACAATTTGCCTGCATCAATGTCACTATAATATTGCCTTTATATTTGAGCTGTTATCTTAATGTGTCTTAATGCTGCTCACCATTTCTTTGTCTGTTTATGGAAGAATCTTGCAAGATCTTGACTACTTTTCAACCTTCGATTCTTAAATGTTGCAAGGCTGTTTTACATTCTGGAGAGCTTGTTTAAATATGAAGAACATTTGGTGGGAGTCACGGTTATGGGGGTGGTAAAGAAATGCTCAGGTTAGGAAGAGATCATCACAAGGTGAATGGAGTAGAAAATGGAGAAAACTGAGTGAAGGAATAAAAGGTAATTACACTTTTGTTACTTTGGGACAGTCTGGGGTTGTGTTGTTAAAATTGAATAGTGTCTCTTCTAGGCCAGTTTTGCTACACAATTCCTGTTGAATCAATGCAAACAGTTGTCTCATTTATGGAGTGATTTTGTTGAATGGAAGCCTTGTTGGGCGTGCCTTGTGAAGAGCTTTAGCTCTGCCCCAACAGCATAAAGTTCCCGGGCATTTGCCCTTAAGATTTTAACATGCCAAAGGTCCTGCGACACAACCTCTCCAGCGCACTGGCTAGTGAGCAAACCTCTGCATGTGAGCAGAAATCCTTCCACGCTGCCCAGCGCTGCAACTGTTGGGTTTTAGGGATCAAAATAAGATCTTTGTTTCTTATATCATCCAAAATGATTAACACAGAACGGCTATTCAGGATATTCACACAACATGTTGCAAGTATCCTCTGCTGTAGCTCCACCTGGTGATTGGAAGCCAACCTTCAGAATGCACTAAACAACTTTAATTGGAATGTTAAAATACACAATGACTTTGAGGCAAATCAACTCGTGTGCTTTACCCAATTCCAACAGGGCTGCATAGTGTCACAGGGTCACAAGATTGGTTTGATAAAGAAGATCCTGCGGCCCATTTGATCTCATCCTTCCAAAATACCCACTCTAGTTGTTAACTACACTCTGGGTAAATAAATACTTCCTGGTGTCTGTCCTGACATCATCCTTTGCAACTCCAAACCTATACCCTCTTGGTCGACTGTCTTGGTGCATCTGAAATTATTTCAATCCCACGTAAATTGTATGCACCTCCAAGATGTTTTCTTTCAGGATTGAAGAACCCAACCCTATGTTGTCCAATTGTTGCACGTGGCTCATTTCTCTAACACTGGGGATCATCCTCATTGTTCTCCTCTGCACTGTCTCAAGGAGTTGGGCACCCCATTATATTTCAGCAATGAGAACTGTATAGAGTACTCTAGGTGCAGCCTGACATATGGGACCAGTTTGTGAAAAGGACAAAAACCTGTCTGACTCAACCACCTTGGAAGAGGTACGTGTGTAAAGCAACTGTATTTAAACAGAAAAATTATGTTTAAAACATGGTGAAAGTTACAGTTGAGCATGTTGTATTAGTGATTTTCTATTGAATAATTCAGTACCTCAGTACAGTACAGCTACATATTGCCTTATTCCTTTCTTGCTTATAAACAAACAGCATCAGAGGATTAGCAGTGTAAAGTTGTCAGTACCGTTTGTACTCATTATTCCTGTAATCAAAAATGTGAGCTGCAGGCTTATAATTGTGTGAACTTCATTGATGTACGTGTGTGTATTGATTTTACATTCCTTTACCTCTACTGTATGCATTAAATCTCTCTAGAAAACTTTAGAACGTACTCTCCAAGGCAGACCTACTCTGTTTGATATTATGTACGCTTTCATGTGACAGTATATTCTACAATTGTTCTGCTCAATTATTCCACAAAATGTGATTTTGGTTTTTGATTGTTTTTCCAGTACTATGTGTTTGACTTGTGAAGTAATAAAAGCCGAACCATTATTGACTGACATTATTAAACGGGAATTGGCACCCATTGTAAACCCACTCTAAAATGTTACCTTACACTTTGTAATGGAAAAACTGCATGCAGATCTGGGACAGAGAAGGTAAGGTAACCAAAGAATAGGTAAAATAAAGCAATCTATCTCTTTGAATTTGAAAACATATGTTGGCAGTGACCCAGTAGTTTGTGGAGTTGAGCACTTCCAACCAAACGGTCTCCATTCTCCGATCTGTTTGTCACTCGATCTCTTTCACCATGTAATGCTGCGATAAACTGGAGCTGGAACAGGGAAAGTTGACCCGATAGCATTTTTAAAAATTATGAGTGGTGTTGATTAAAACAAAGAAATTCTTTCCTCTGGTCAGTAAGTTGCAAGTAGATCTCCAATCTGTTCAGATGACAGCCCCTCTTGTCCGTGCCGTCTCTTTTAAACAGTAATTCTTTCAGTCCTATTTGCCTTTTCCCCATATATGTCTTGGGCTTGTGTGGAGAATAAACACTGATGCGGACTAGTTAGGCTAAATGGCCCACTTCCATCGCCGTGTCACTCTGTAATTCTACGAATTCATGCAATCAGTTGGAGATACTGACAACTGGATACAAAAAAGTTCATGCCCTGTTGTGCTGTTTTGGAGAAACTAAATTTTCATGGAAAAGCTCCTTGTTCTGCTCTGTGACCATTAGGACCTCTGCCTAAAAGGCTCAGGGAAGGCACTACATAAAGGCAGACCTGTCAGTGGATCCCGTCATGTGAGAGATTGGCATGTTACTATGGAGATGAATGAAACTGCTTTTATTACTGAGAAATACACACTGCTCTGAAGACTCACAGGGTTAGAAATGAGCTGATTACTGGAGTGCTAGACCATATGATTCAGATGCTAGAAACTATCCACTGGTGCGTTAACATTTTGACTGACCAGTTTTTATTTTGGTACCAGCCATAAACCCATCAGCATGTTGAGTGTGTCTAAACCAAACAGAATTGCACGTATCCCACCTACACATCGAAATTCCGTGTCTAGAAAATTGCCCCACAGAGGGACAAACCCCATTATCTAATTCCAGAGGGTATAAGGCATTAGGTTGGCAAGGGCCATAGTTTGGGCAGTATTGGGAATCTAGACTCAAGAATTTACTGACCTGATGCTGGAATAACCAGTAGCAGATATAATCTTTCCTTTCTAGACTGATTAAACTAGTGCTCAGTTTCAAAAAAGCTGCAAAAAACATTCTCTCTCTAATAAATTTCCTCTGTACTAGTTTTCATGACTTAATTATTTGTTGAGTCAATTGTCTCCCCTCTTGTAATACCAATATCCAATTTAGTACCATTCAACAGTGTATCTTGGACTTTCTCATAAGAACTCAGTCTTACTAAAACCTGGCTTTAAACTATCCAAACTTATATTATTTTGGGATCTTACAGATGTTCAAGAGGTGACTTTATCCCATCAGATTGGGCTGTAAATCAGACTGAGGAACCCAAACTTAAAAGCATTCTAGGTAACAGCATTAACCATTCTCCTATCATTGAACACTGTATACTCATACAGTTATAGTTTAGTAAGTTGCACCATTGTAACAAATCCAGGTATTTATTTCAACAATTTGTACGGTAGAGCATAAAGGTACTTGATCGACATAACCTCACTTTTAATACAATGCACGTTTAACACAGTTATTTTCATGTTCTCTCTGGCACGTTCTTTGGCGTGGGTTGGCTTATTTCAGACTCCAGGCCGGGTAGCATGGTTTTCCTTCGAGCTGCGGTTTCAATTTTCTGCACGAGCTCCACGTCCCAGGGGTGGGTGACAAAGTTGGCGACGGTGCCCATCACCTTGCTGCCCACCCGCCCCACCCGCCCCGCTCGGTGGATGTAGTCGCATAGCGAGGCCGGGAAATCGTAGTTGATGACCACTTCCACTCGCTGCGTGTCCAGCCCGCGGGAGGCAATGTCCGTGCAAAGGAGAATGTCCACTAAACCTTTCTGGAAACCGCTGAAGATCCCACTCCGGATCTCCGGTTTCATCTTCCCCTGGAGCCGGGAGTGTTTGATGCCGTGGTCCTCCAGGAGATAACCGAGCCAATTAACCGTGGGTCCATTATTGCAAAATACAAGGACTCCAGTGCCAGCTTTCTCAGCTGCCAGCTCCTTTAGCATCTTCAGTAAGTCAGTGGGCTTGTCCGCTCGCTTCACTTTCACAAACCTCTGCTTTACGTGCGGCATGAGGTGGTGAAGCCTCTTGCTCCTTACCGTGGTGATGCTACCTAAGTCCATGACTTGGTCCAGCAGCTCCCCCACACCCCCTGGGAATGTGGCACCCACCACCACCAGCTGGGCTTTTCGTTCCACCCCACGCGTTTCGGAAGGGTTTGAAGCGATCCGCGTGTGATGGAGAATTTCATCCAGCAACTCCGCAAAGCTTTCATCAAATAAAGTATCGGCCTCGTCCAACACCAAGTACCTCAAGTCGATCAGGTCGGTGAAGTTTCGTCTCAGTGCCTTCCACAGTGAGCCCGGTGTTGCTATCAACAGATCGATTGGGCCCTTAGCAAGTATTTGCTTGGCTTCCCTCATCCCTCTGCCGCCTCCGATGTTCTGTACGTTGAGGTTAACGGCAGCTGCCAGGGAGCACGCGACCTCCTTCACCTGGTCGGCGAGTTCTCGAGATGGGACCAGCACCGCGCTGCGCGGCGCGTTCGTGCCAACGCCTGGATCTTCGCCGTCCTCCGACGTTAACCTGTGCATCAGAGGCAACAGGTAACTCAGGGTCTTCCCGCTGCCCGTCTCGGCCGCACAAAGCACGTTTTTTCTCTTCATCAGGGCCGCGATGGTCCGCGACTGCACCGCGGTCGGCCGAGTGATACCCGAACGGGCCAAAGCCTCGACCAGCTCCCCGCAAAGCCCCAGAGACCTGAAGGTCTGCGGGTTCTCGCCGGGGGTCCCCTCCTCTGCCCCGCTCTCTGGCGACACGGGGGGTCTCGACTGGGTTTTGTTGATGGTGAAGTAGTCGCCTGCGGCCTTCCTGTGCTTCCAGCCCTTGGAGACGAGGGGCACCGGGTCGAACTTGCCGAAGCTGTGGCGGGCGGACTGGTCCAGGTCGGGCTGCCGGCCCTGGATGAGGAGTCTCCCGGGTCTGGTCAGCCTGACCCCGAGGGCCCGGTCTTTCTTCGGGCGCTTCCTCTGCTCCACATTCAGTCTGAAGCCCTGCGGGAACCTGATGATGGGGATCGCCTCCTCCTCCGCCTCCTTCTCCTCCTCCTTCTCCCTCCTCATCACCCGCACTCCCCCCGCGGCCCTCAGCCCGTGAGGCCCGAGCCTCAGGGCTCTGCTGCCGACCAGGGGGTCCCACACCAGCCGGCGGGCAATGGCAAGAGGCAGCATGTTCCCGCGGCTGAGGCCTGAGGGGGCCGGCGGTGGTGGGGGGGGGGGGGGACGGGGGGGACGGGGGAGGGGACCTCTCTGCGGACCGGAGAGGCCGAGAATACTGTACGTTGTTGTCGCTGTTGACCCGCGCGCAGAGCACACGGCACCGGAACCGGAAGTGATGTCGCCGCTCCACGTGCTTCTGGCGCCGGTGACACCGACACCCGGACCGGCTCTCCCCCCCCGACACCCGACACCCGGCCCGACCCCGACACCCGGCCTGACCCCGACACCCGATACAATAACATGTTCCAGAGTGCGCAGAAATCTATTAAAATGTATCTGTTCAATAGGTTTCCCACATCCTCCGCTTTTAAAACATTTGGGTACAAATGTTCCTAACTAAGAATAACTAGTGTAATAAATGTCAAAGCTTTCTGATTAGTTATTGCAAAACTAACTTATTTTACAATAACTTCCCTGGAGAATGGCTCTGAAAAGATTTGCCAAGAATATGGTATTAAAGATGTCTTGAGATCTTTGAAGAATAGACCACCAACAACGCCCCCTCCCATCTGAGCAGAATTAGGAGTAGGGGTGGAGGAGAAAGCGGAGAGGAAATTGCACAAAATGAAAATTGGTTTTTAATTAAGAATTGTGAAAGTTATTCTTATTTTAAAAAATTGACATCATAACATTGTTTAGTTTTCAACAAGATTACTCTTGTAGAAGGTTGCACCTTCTTTCCCTCCACAA